ACCTCTTTGAACAACCACATTAAATTACAGCAGAACTCCTGAGTGTACTAAGATTCTAATAATCAACAAATAAAGGATTTTACTAGCACAGCACATAATGAGAGCTACTGTGTGAGAGATAAAGGAGACAAATCTGGTACTTTATCTCACTGAATAATATAATTTACTGAAAAGGTAAATAAATTTGTCCAAAGGAATACTGCCATATGAATACTAAGCAGCAATTATGATCAATGCATTTTCAGAAAAAGATATGTCAGAATTTAAGTGGGATGAAACTGACACACAATACAAGTTTTAGACATATGTTTTTTATGAAGGCATGTTACATACTATTCTTCTAAACTAAGTAAAAATTCCTGGCTAGATTAGGAAGTGATACACATTTCCAAAATGGCAGATATACTCTATTTGTTTTATATTTTACGAGGAACCTTTTGTATTTCCAGACATGTACATTTTTTTCCTAACACATACTAATAGTAGACATTAAATCACTAAATAAAAGGTTCTGTGCAAACCTGTAGACTGAGAGTCAGGACTCTCATTAAACAACATTCAGCAATGAAAAGACTTCACATTCTAGTGACAGTGTCCAAAGTGCAAAAGGGAAAGGGACACTGCCAGAAACGCCCATCTCTGAGACGAAAGAAAAATAAATTTGGTTTTTGTACAAAATCCAATGTTTTACTTGGACTTGTTTTAATGTAATTGCTTTGCTGTTGGTCATTTCTGCTTTGTTTGAAAATCACAAGATCTGTAGTCAGCCACAAACCCTACTGACATACAGAGATACATAGCACAGAATAAAGCCACCTCGACACCTAATTTCTAGATCTTTGGCTCTGAAAAAAAAAAAAAAAAAAAAAAGTAGTAATTAGTCCTCCCTCATTCAGAATATTTTTCCCCTTTTTCTTACCTATGGCATATCTAATAAAATCCAGAAGCTCCCTCTAGCTCTCCAGAGGAGCTTAACTGACCATTGATCCTTTACAGTTCCTTTCCATTTTCAAAAGTAATACTGAGAAAGTGAGAGCACTATTTCCCTTACATATTACGTGTTCTTGTTTCCATTCAGCAGTGTTTTTAATTCTACAACTTGAAAGGATGTGGATTATATGTGAGAACATCTGCTGTGAAATACAGAAAGTTAAATACTGCTTACTCTTGTGCAGCATACTAAAGACCCTCTTAATCATTTCCAACTTACACTTTATTTACCAAATTCTGGTTTGAAATCTTACATTGTTTGACAACCTAGCCATGTATGCATTGAAACACACACACACATACACACACAGACAGACACACCTCCATTCCACTTTCCAATTATCAAGTGCGAAATGATGTAAAGAAACCTGACAGGCAATGCTATAGCCCTATTTAGATCCCAGATTTCAAGTACAGAATGTTAGTTAAAATCAATTTGTTGGCATATGCTGGTTTTCCAGAAAACCAGTAATGCCAGTGGTAATTTGCTGACTGTATTTTCACCTACCATAATATTTACACATACCATTTGTAATGGCTTTTATTGTTTAATCTCCACTGCATTTCAGTATTGGATACTACAGAATTACAGTTATTTAGCAGGCTATAAATACTGTAGTTGGCATGTGCAATTGATATTTAAAATGTCTTACAACAACTGTAAAAGCCTCATTACAAACTAGCAAATCATTTCTAACAAGCAAGTTCAACTGACAAACACCAAAGCAAACCTGCAGTCTCTCCTGCAAGCATGTTTGTTTTATTTAAATGATACACATTTAATGCAGCGTGCACTGGACCATCGGTACAAACTTTATTAAATGAGAAAGCAAAGTTCCAAAGTAATACGATAATTGTGACTTTTTGAAAATAAAACTGTAGTATTAAAAATAAAAGGAATTCTCAGTAACAACAGAAAGAATAGCTTACTTCCCCCTCCCCCTTCTATGAGCTAGTGTCCAATTTCTTCTTTTCTGAACAGCTGTATTATCCAACTTAAGTTGCTCTGCTAATTTCAGTCCCACAAGGACTAACTTGGAAGGCAAAAAAGTACTAGAAAAGATCAATTTGCTGGGAAAGATCAAATGAGAAAACTGTGGGGACAGCACCAGGTCATAGTATGAAGAACTAAGCAGACCTGTTCTTCATTAACTTAAGCTCTCTTGGGATGTCACACACTACCTGTCCATAGGCTTATTGAACCGCCTAACCCTCATCTCTGTACCATTCTTCTGGGCCCAAGTGAATCATATCCTGCTGCTGACAAGTTAGCAGGGGACTGCGGCTGCAACATGAAAGTACTTTTCTTTCTTGTCTAAATCAGGCAGATTTTTGAAAAGAGGACACAGCACTGACTCGTGACATGGCAAGATGAAATGAGAGGTCTGGGCTGGTCTTCGAGCTGTGTAGATAAAAGTAATCAAATGACACTCCTGGAATGCAAATTGGCATTCTTGACTGCAGCAATTGCACAACCATGAAACATCTCTGACAGCAAGCAAGATTAGGACAAAATGTTATGTAAAGCACTGAACTAAAAAACTCACTAAAAAATTCAAACTGTAACATTTACATTTTAATATAGCAATAGCTATCTCTGCTTTTGTCTGTTTCTTTACTTTGTTTACTGCAGTTTCATACTTGCCTTTCTCAAATGCCTCAAAAATAAAAATGTAACACAATTAAAGGCATAGATCTACTCCTAGAAGTTTTTCCCCTAAAATGTCACACTATTGTATTTTTTACAAAACAGTGTACCAAGGCAGTGTTTTTCTACTACGTGTGCAAGATATGTGCTTAAGAAACACTTTCACAATCCCAAGTCTTAAAAGGAGTTTCAAAATTTGCTCATAAGAAATAGTTTATAATTTACACTGCAGATTTTCTACATGTGGATCAGGTAAAAATGAGTAATTTGAAATATTTAGCAAGTTTTAAAATTCACATGCTTTAGGATTTTAAAGCAGAACATACATAGAGCTAGTTGGCTCAACTAGACAGTTTAAAACGAAACTACAGTGTATCAAAAGTACATACACCCCATTAAATTTCAGATTTAAAAATCCTGTCATTTTTAAGGGTAAGGAAAGTTCCACATACTTTTGCAGGAACTTGGTATTCTTGTGCAGATATGCTGATTGGGCTTATTAAATATTACTGTCTGAAATGAACTCAGTAATTAAACTGTGAACATTTGTAGTCTGAAACTATGACAAAAATGCTACTCATTTTATCATTTGTCTATGGAAATGGGTTATAATACAGAGGGGGAAATGGAATATAGTGAAAAATATAATCCCACTTCCACTAAGAAATATTTCAACAACTACTATATACAGCTAATATACAGATTAAGGAAAGAAAATAATATTCTGCTTTGATTTCATACTTTAAAAAAGCTTCAAACCATTTTAACCATCAGACACACAAAAAAGACACTCATTGCCACTTTAATCCTGGGTACACCAGATTACTACATGATGTCTTTTGTGCATCAATTTTATAACAGCTCGACTCTAGGGTAAATGGGAATCATCATAAATCGCATGCTGCTTTCAAAACCACTTTAATTTCTGTCAGTGTTACTGTAACCACAGTTCTGGGCACACGCTGCTTTTTCCCCCCTCCTTTCCCCCCCGCCCCCCCTTTTTTTTTCCTTATTGTCTACATTTGACAGTTGTATCTCCTACACTCCAATTGTAGCTTTGATCACTGGAACAAGACATGTCATATTAAAGAGAGAAGGGAAAAACACAAATCTTCTATCGTAAACTCCATTCGTACAGACATTCTCTACCTATAGTTTGAGTACTGTATATATGTACATACATACATGTATGCATGCAGAAACAGACACGTATATAAGTAGATAGACATATAGATGTATATGCACACTTGTGTGTGTGCATGCACATATGTATGTGTACATTCAAGGCACACAAGACAGCTCTGTAACATCCCTGAAGTGAGGTGACAAAAACTGACTGAAAGCAGGGCAGTAGTCAAACAGTGACTGGAAACATACTACTCAATTGAATATGGGATGATCACCGTTCATCACCAGCTGAGGTCGAGCCATGTGTTAACGTCAACAGTTACCATTCTGCATGTTAAGTGTAGTCACGGCTTAAAAGAGCTTGTCTTTCTCAGCTGTTTAACCTATCCTCAAATCACAACCAAGACAAACGGATTTCAGTCAAATGAGGACCCGCGCCATTCCAACTTTTAATTTTTAAATTAAAAGCCCAAATCCTGCTTTGCAAAACCCCTACTATAAAGGAGATGTACATGTACACAGCACATGAAATAAGCAGTAAAACCTTGTTCAAAGTTGGTTTTTGAGGGGTTCCCCCTTCCCTTTTACAGTTAGGGCATCAGCATAACTCTCAAAGTTCTGTTAGCGATCGCTGATTGGAGAGGTGCAAACTGCAAGCACATGCACAACAAAAAAAAAAAAGTTTCAGAGGGAAGGTGGATTTACACCCCTGTCTCCCTGCCGCAGGCGATGTTTCACACGCGAGCACAGAGCTCCTTCCCGCTCTCAAAGGTTACCTTTACATTGTGTGCAAACCGTACTCATTTCAGAGGAGAAGGTGGTGGCCAAAGTAGATCAGACCACCTTATGTCCGACTCAACCCCACTCCACCTGTACTCTCCCTCCCTCCCATCCATCCGCAAACACTTTTTTTTACACTAGCTCCTCATCTTTAGTGGAAGGAAAGAGGCGGTAAAAAGCCACATGGGATGTGGCCATCCCATTTCAATCCTCCAAACTCACTTAAAGTTTAGCACAACCTCTTAGACATTTATTTTCCCCCAATCCACGCAGCACAAAGCTGATTTATTTATTTATTATCTCCCTACTTCGCCTTGCCTGGCTGCTTGTTTCTTTGAAGGCTGAAACACACCGATAGCAAGCAGGGCTGCTTGTCTTACTGCACAATTTATTAATTAAATCAAACCAAAGTAAAGGCTACAATGAAAACGAAAGGCTGCTGGAAACTTCTTACCATCTCTGCATGCTGGTTGTCAAGTGCACCCCCTGTCTCTCGATCTCCTCTCAGCGGCAGTGCCTGCACCCTTCCTTTTGCCTCCGGGCTCTCTCTCTACACTCTCTCTTTCCCGCTTTCCCTTTCTCCTTCCCACCACCACCCCCCCAACCCTCCCCCCAGGTGATTTGAACTAAAAATGGAGATTTAAAAAAATATTTTCTCCCCTTCAAATAAAATCTAAAAAAAGAAAGAAAACCCCAAAACAAAACAAAATCCCGCACCACTTACGCTCACAACAACAACAAAAAAAAAAAAAAAAAAAAAAAAAAGCAGCAGCTGCTGCAGCAGCGACAGTCTCTTTCTCCTCCCTCCCCCCCCCCCCCAACACTCTCTCTCTGACTCTCTCGAAACTTCAGCCCCCAAAGTTCAGTCCGAGCAGTAGGAAGAAAGAAAGAGGAAAAGCTTTCAGCGGAGAGCTGGAAGTAATGGGAGGAGGGACCCAGGTTCGGGTCGGAGCCTCCACAGGTTGGTTTGTTGTTGTTGGGATCTTTGGCTGGGGAAGGGGAGGCGGCGGGGGGAGGCTGCGAGCGGGCCCGAGAGGGCAGCGCTGCTTCCTCCTAACCCCGCGCTCTCGGGCGAGGGCGGCAGGCAGGGAGGCAGAGGGGGTTATTTTTTCACACACACACCCCCGACTGCTCTTTCCCCTTCCCTCTGCCTGCTCCCTCCCCCGCAAACTTTCTGTGCCAGGCGGGGGCCGCGGCAGAGGCCGCCCGCGCCCAGCTGTCAAAAACACCCGGAGACCGCCGCCAACTTTGTGGCGAGGGCGGCCGGCGGCGCCGCGCGGGGCTGCCGCGCCTCTGCCTCCTCTGCCCCTTTCGCCTCCCGTCCTCCGCCCTGCTGCTCCTCGAGCGGCTGCAGTCCCTCCCGCTGCTTCTCCTCTTCCTTTTCGGCTCCAGGCGCTGCTGGAGCGAGCGAGAGGGAAGGCGACAATGCGAAAGAAAGCTGGAGGGAGGGCTAAGAGGGGGCAGAGAGACGGCGGAAAATGGAGCGTAGCCCAGAGGAGGGGGTAAGGAGCCGCAGGGGAAGAGGGGAAGAGCGTTAGAAAGGAAGGGAAAAGTTAGGAGAAGTTTTTGCTCGTGGTGCCGGTTTCCCGCTTCCCACCCATTGCTCCATCAGCTCCAGGGCTCTGCGGCGGCGGCTGCTGCTCGGTGTGGGATCTGAGGAAATATTTTGTAAAAGGGTGGGATTTTTTTTTTTTTTTTTTTTTTTCCCTGCGAAGGGGAGGAGGGGGGGAGGTTAAGGGAGGCGGGAGGAGGTGAGCCGTCACGGTCGTACGTTCGCAGGGAACAGACAAGAGTCACATCTGTGTGTGACAAGGAGCCAAACCGAGCGAAACCCTGCCCCGGCGGCGCCGTGGAAGCGCAGCCGCCGCCGCGGCCCCGGCCGGGCGCGCAGGCACACGGCGGCGGGCCGGGCGCGCTCCCGCGGGGGCGGGGCGGGACGTTCCGCGCCCTCCCGCGGCCGCCGGCGGATTGGCCCGCGCCGCTCCGCGCGGGGCCGGCGCTCGGCCGGGGCTCCGCGGGGCCGGCCGCGGTCCCGCCGAGCCCTGTGAGACCTTCCTTCCCTTACCGCTTCGGAGCGCCGGTCTCCACGCCAGCCCCGCCGGCCGCGCCGAGGGGCTGGCACAGCCGACCCGCGTCGCACGGGCTGCTCGAGCGGCGGAAGGTGGCTGCGGGCTGTCGGGCTTCACCTGCGGCGACGGGCAGCCCGGCCCGGCTGTCCCTCGCGTCCCGCCCGAGAAGGCGCGGAGGGTCACCAGTGCGGTCAAAACCGGCTTCCCTCGTCAGGCGCCGTGTAAACACGAGGTTTATACACGAGGTTTAAACACGGCCGTACCGTTAAAAAGTGAACGTGAGGAGAACTTTCCAGGCGATGTGAGGCACAGAACATTTTGCTCCCTTTTGGTGTAGCTGGACATTCAGATGACCTAGCAGGAACTGAGAAAAATTGAGAGAAGACGGGAGGTAGCCGTCTGCACTCCTGATTTTTCCTGCATCTGCTATGGTCTGAGCTCCCAGTAAGCTTGCTGTAATGAACGGCATGTTCCCGGGAATTGCCAACTTCCCAAGCTTGTTACCATATTTTGGCATCTTTGTTACTTATGTATTTCTTATGGCTGTCAGAAGCAAGAAAGGTAAATTGTCTGTATTAGTATCAAAACTAGTTTGGTTTTTTTGGGGTTTTTTTTTGTTTTTTTTTTTTTTTTGTTTTTTTGTTTTTTTGTTTTTTTTTTTTAAAACCCTATATATCTCAATGTCTGTTTCCATGAAAAATCATTTTTATTTTCTGGGTATTTGTTGGATACCTTGATTAGGCATAATACGTATCAGCTTATGGACAGGTTTGTAGTATCCACACTTCATCAGGATTAGTCTTGATCTTTGAAGGCTCTAAGCAACGATTCAAAAGGATTTTGCATTCATCAGGATTTTGGGCTTTTTTTATATAAGTACCATGACCAATGAAGATTTTAAGTAATTTGATTTCTAAAAATAAAAAAAAAAAAATCACGGGAATAATTAAGCCATGACTTGGTGCGTTTTCTGTCAAAGGGGAGAGATAAGAAAAACCTTGTTACTTATTTCGAAGTCACATTTTATCGTACATAAAAACGCATTTGCCCTTTTGAACCGGGGAAGGGCCAAGAAGTTGCCAAAATATTGTGTTCACACAGCCCCCTCGTGGTCAAAGCCTTCAGAGCCTCACAGCAACCTCTACTCACACGAAGGAGGGAAGGGTCAAAGCATGCTGAAGGAAATTAAAAATACAGTGCTGCAACTTTGGCTCGCAAAAGGCATGGTCACCTGCTAGAATAAAGATATGCCATGCCCATTATAAGGCTAATCTTCACTGTGCAGTTTCCCCGAAGTGAGTTAAGGATTATAAAGGGTTACAGCTTTATGAAAGAAAAGTATTAGAGTAGGTAGATGGCCATTCAATTAAATTTAAAACCAGATTTCCTCACTACTTTGGAAAACATGTTTTTAAACTGGGCCTAGACATTTGAAGGATATATTTCTATATGCGCTAAATTAGTAGTTTACATTCATAATAGCCTATATCAATAAAAAAGTTTATCTAAACTCTGATTGGTCATTTCAAAGAACCTCTAAGTGTAGCACAATCATTAATAGCTTCTGGTTACATTATTTTTAAAGACTCTAAGTAATTTTATATGGAAAATAATAAAGCTTCATAGAGTTACTCCTTTGTTATCTTGCTTGATATTTGATTCAGCATTTTTAAACCTTTTTTTCTTCCACCTGTCAATAAGCCAACATCTTTTGTATTGGCAGTATATTACAGCCTCTTGAAAGATGATGAGGAGGTAAAATGACTGGAAGCAAGCTGGCTGTTGGGAGTTCTGATTCTTGGGTTGACAGTATGGGGTTACAGTATAAACACTGTGGAGTGAGATACTTCTGCTTATAGGATTAGTACCAAAGTAACTACCTGGTGGCATCTGAATACATAACATCATTAGTCTTCAGACTGAATAAGCTCCAAGTTTTTCTGAAATTTCATATCTTTCAGTCATGCTTTCAGTCACACATACAATAGTGTTTTAAATTTCCATTGAGTTCTTCCTTTCAAGTTTGTCTACACTGTAGTATATTCTGAGATAAAATTAAGAGATAGAGCCTGCATTAAAATACTATGCCATCCACATGCACAGTACCTTTTGTTTCTTTATAGTGCTGCGGTGACTGTGAAATCAACACATCATTCATATTGTGGGAAATTATGACAACAGACCTTTACTTGCAGTTCAGTGTCAAAAGACAGTATACAGATTCATGGTGTGTCACAGGACTGTCTTATGACTTCTCAACATGTGCAATTACCTTAAATTTTGGATATTATATGCAAGGTTTCAGCAAGTAAGTGCAAGGCTTAAACTTTTATTTGCTTCTTAGTCTAATCAGGCGCATCAACAGAGATATATAGACAGCAAGTCTTTCTCACTGTAATTTTCCTTTAAAACCAGATATGACCACCGTAAAGAATTAGTAGTATTCCTTGTCTGAGATTCATTAGTGTGAACAAATTTAGAAAGTAAAATAATTTTCTTCAGGGTTTTTTTGTGTTTGTTTCTTGTTGTTTTGGGGAGTCTTCTGGATTTCAGGAGAGCTTTTTCTTTTGGTTGGTTTGGTTTTCTGCTTTTGGTGTTTTTCTTGGTTTGTCGGTTTGTTTTTTTTGTTTTTCACAGATTGAAGCAACAAGCTATTGCAAATTAGAGTCTGAGTAGTAGCTGCAACTTGAGAAGAATGGAACCATAATTCATCTAAATTGTGATATCTCCAGTATATGGTATTTCTGTGCTGTCTTGATCTTATTTCTCACAGAAGGAATACATTTCGCAAACCTGAGGTGTGGTCCAGAGGATTTTCCCACAGAGCAAACAGAGGTGAGGTGGGACATAAGGCACCAGTCCTAAAAGGGATGATAGAAAGATACCAAACTGAAATCTCTCCTATTCTGATGGGTGGCAAGGTAGGACAGAACACTTCTAGAGATATAATTGAAATGTAATTGAAAAAAAAAGAGATTACTGGTAGAAAGAATCTCCAACAGAGAAATTATTCCCAGTCCTGAAAGTGAAACCTGTTTTCTGTAATCCACAGTTTGTACTGAGGCAAACAATCCATTCCAAAAATACCCATCAATATTTTGGACCAATGCCATCATGAAATGCCATCCTGAATCTGATTATTCATTTTATCTGGGAATATGGCTGTACCATCCATGTACATATGGAATATTTGTGTTAAGTTTCTATGCTAATTGTTACTTGAAAGCACTGGCCTGGTTTACAGCATGACTTACAGATAGGGTCCTGCTTTCTAGTAGAGATTCTTCTTTTCCCTTTTTTTTTATTTTATTTTTTTCCTCTTTTTAGGCATTTTTGATTGAGTTTTATGCTAGTTTATCACATTATGACATTTGGGAGAACCTCAACCATTGTCAATAATCTGATTAGGAGTGAATATCTGGGCATTTATTACAAAAAAAGGGTCTTTCTCTTTTTGTCTTATTCATCACACACCTTAAAACTTTAGCAGTAAATTAAGCAGGAATATTAGGAAAGAAGCTCCATTCCATTATATAGGTAGTCTGTTTAGAGAATGTCATAATTTCTCTGTATTTGATACAGACACATGTTGCAGGAAGAAGACAGTACATGAGCATACAATTTCAGATGCTGTGTACTCATCACATGAAAGGGCTGAAATAATATT